CACTTGCAGATTACAATAAATCATTGGAAATAAGACCAAATGATGCAACTACGTTAAATAATCGTGGATTAACTTATGATCATATGAGTAGATATGAAGAAGCACTTGCAGATTTCAATAAATCATTGGAAATAAGTCCAAACGATGCAAGAACCTTGTATAATCGTGGAGTAACGTATGATAATATGAGTAGATATGAAGAAGCACTTGCAGATTACAATAAATCATTGGAAATAAGACCAAATTATGCAAATACCTTAAATAAACGTGGAATAACGTATAAAAAGATGAGCAGATATGAAGAAGCACTTGAAGATTACAATAAATCATTGGAAATAAGACCAAATGACGCAACTACGTTGAAAAATCGTGAAACGTTATATAAAATAATAGGAAAATCATAAAGAAGCAAAATCAAGTAAATATTTACAACTGGCTAAGGATTTCGAAAGCTATAATTGCATACAGAGTATAATCTAAAATTTAAAAATTAACGTTTGCTATGTAATATATTTAAGAGATTAGCTTTTAATTATTAATATTTTCAGCTGAACTTTGATTATTATTTTTCTTACGCACATTTAGTTAAAACAACAATTTATAAAAATCATTTGATTTGTTTTCCTTATTAGCTATTAAAGTAATATGTTTATTTATAATAAAATGAAAAAATTTCTTTATTAAGAAAATATCAAATAGACAAATTATACTGTAAAAATTGATAAAAAGTATGTCAGTATTTTTTTAATCTGCAAATGAAAAAATAAACGTAATAAAAATAAATCTAAAACATTAGGCCATTATTACTTTCATGAACAAAGATAATTTATCTAGCAGATAAAAAAACATACATCCTTATTTATTTGATGTATCTTTATATTAATTTTTATTTAACTATTTCATTTCAATAGACAAATGCCTTATAACTAATCCTTTAATAGTATTTTGTCATCTAATAGTTCTAAATATTCGTAATTCAAAGTTAAACTTTGACAGCATGACTCTTGGAAAATTCATCTAATTCTTCCGCGACAGGCAAATCAGTTTCATCAATATCGTCATCTGAAGCCTATTATTAATTTTGATCATAAAATCATCAAAACAAATTTACATATTTAATAAAGAAAATAAGAAACAAAAGAATAATTACGCATAGTAAAGCCCAATGACGATAAAGTGTATCATTAAGTACTAAATGAAGGTCTTCTGGTAACAACACACAATCATCAAGATGAAAACTACAATGTTTTGTATATAATGACTTGAGAATAAAAAGAGATCTTTCGGGATCATCCTATTTCATCCAGAAAAGATTATTATAGTTTTAATTGTTTTTATTAATAGTAAAGTTTATCAATGAATTACCTCTTGTGTTATTTCTTCCTGCACATCGACTCCTTTCAAAATTTAAAACTACTAAGAATAATGAGAAATACTACTTTTTGACGATAAGGAAAAGTTGTGGACGACACTCTAAAATTATATATTAAATTATTTAAGTTGAATACGAAATTACTAACTAAAGAAAAAAAGCACCTGTTATAGTCGAACGAATATTAACATCATCTTGCTTAGATCTAAAAATTTTATTACTGTATAATTAGTAATCATCACTATCATTGATATTCTACTTTGCCACTTAGTAAAATATCGGGGTAATTGTGATGAATTAAGGATTGTGAGGATTAAAAAGTAGTACTTATTTATTATGTATCGAAGGAAATATACTGCCTCAAAGGGACAATACGGTCTTTATTTATAATATCGGTAATATTTAATGTTCGATAAATTCAATATATGCCAAAATTCCAATTTATTCCATAAAATTCTATAAATTGCATATATTGAATTTATTGCATTTTTTTTATTGCACTTCGGCTCCGTGACCTCCGGTATTACGGCTATGGGAGAGTAATCGATTACACAACGCCAAATTAGCTCAGAATCGTTAACATAAATTGTATGTAGGTAAATTAAAAAGAATATTATGTATTATATTATTTACTTGATTTATTATTAGTAAGCGTAAAGAAGTTATTTATTATTATTAAGGGAGAGAAGAATGAGTTGAGTTCTTTATTAGTTTTAGCATTGTATTTATATATATATTATATCTTTCAAGGGCTTCGAACACAAATCCGCAGTCTCAAACCACGAACCGTAGTCTCAAACCACGAACTGTAGTCTCAAACCACGAACTATCTCAAACCACGATCTTGTGTAAAACCCACAAATTGTAATATCGATATAGGAAAATTTCAACTATTTTTCGTAACACCAGTCACGTTACACCGCAAACCTGGATCGGATTCAGGACTCAGAATATACATACCGACTTAGGGTATTGTCTAACATCGGTTTAATTACAAACATACGGAGATATAAACCGATATTCATTT